TATATATATATATATATTGCTATTATCTTTGATGGATAAAAGATGGGTTTTCTACTATTATTTATAAATGGATGTTTGTGTCTGGTGCACTGGTGCCAGACTGCCAGGTAGGTTGTAAGGAACTCAGAAACCTAAGGCATCCTCTATTGTGATCCTATGTAGTAGATGAAGAAGTCATATCAGAAATCTGTGATACAAAAAACTCAATGGTAAAGTTGATTCTCTATCAACTTTTGGCACCAAGTAACTTGTGGTATATCTACAACCACTTAATAGCACTAGACTTGATATAGACAAAGATATACCCGACGAAAGAGCTAAGAGGCATTTCCTCATTGGCCTTCTCCTTTAATTCTTGCCCATCCGAAGACTAAGCTAGAATATCTTATTTGCTACCACTAACTAAACATCTCACTTACAGATTCAACAGCTTTACAACTCTAAATCTAATTTCATAATATCCACGCAAAAAGCAATGACATAAGCACCGTAATAGATTCTAGTAATATCTTCGTACTGGAAACTTTGTAGGGAGAATGGCAGCAGACAAAAATGTCATTTACTGCAGCAACTCCTTAACTATCACCTATTGCCTAGTAAAATAATTCGCATTCATATGCTTCAGCTACATCTCCACTGTAAGAATGGTAGTACAGAAACCTCTTTGGCCATTGGCCTTTGCTTTGGCAAATCCATCAATCCTCCTCCTAATTGCAGTTGACAATTCAGTACAAAAAAATGCCTCAAATTTTCCGTACTTCCCAAAACATTCAATTGTTAATTTATTTTTAAAAAACTACATATGCTCAACATTTTTGGCAACTAGGTCTAATGACTTCACGCAAACTGCGGTTTTTATGTAAGACATTCATCTATTACCATGTATGTAACAACTTAAAGGAACACAACTAGCCTGCTAGTACAAGAGGACCACCTCTGTAATCCACTGAAAGTGAGAAGAGTAATACTATCATTTTCTGAAGTCAGCAATATGCAAACCATTTAATCTGCTAGGTTAACTGGCGGACTGCATCTTCAAAGAAAGAATGCAATGGCAAACCAAGAATGT